AATGTCATTTCTCCCTCCACAGAATGGGAAGAACTGGGATTCTGGGTTCATTTATTCAATCAGTATTTATTGAGCAAGTACCGTGTGCCAGACACAGGACTAGGTGCTGGGTTTGTAGCTGTGAACATGACTGAAATAGCCTGACTTCACCATGCTCGATCTCCATTGAGAGGCTGATATTAAATAATCACACAATAATTGAATTGTAATTGTGACAAGCAAGTGCCATGGAGGCTAGGAGCAGGGGTACAGGAGAGTTCTGCCTAGTTGGGGTTAGGGAGCCAGTCAGTCCAGGCTTCCTCAAGGAAAAGACAGCGTATTTAAATCTGAAGAGACTATCCAGGTGATCTGCAGGAGAATGCCAGCCAAACAAACGTACGAGGAGTGATAGAAAATCAACACTGTATAACTGCTGATGTAAAAACCGATTCAGGCAAGGATCATCAGTGAATACTAAAATACTAAAAGCAGCGAAAGGTTGCTGCGCAGTCTCATATATCACCCACAGATTACTTATTAATCACCAATATTTAAAAACATCTTTGTAACAGGGAGATCTTGGGGATACCACTGTAACCCAGGGAACAAACTGAGCATCACGGACAATGGGACAAACTGACAGGAAATGATTCCCAGCAGAAGGTGTACAATGTCCCCCACGCAGTATTCTTATCAGACTCTGTAAGCTGATCTCACCATGAGAAAATGATCAGCAAATCCAGACTGTGGGACATTTTGAAAGACAACTGGCCTGGGCTCTTTAAAACATGTCTTAAAAAACACAACCCTCCAAAAGGTAAGGAGGCTGTTTTAGATTAAAGGAGATGAAAGAGAGGTAGCAAGCACATGCAATTCGTGTTCCTTGATTGAATTCTGGAGCTGAAAGAAAAAAAATACAGGTTGAAAGGACATTTGGGGAACATTTATGAAAAACTGCTAGTAGACTGTATATTATTGCATTAATGTTAAATTCCTCAAATGTGATCATTCTTTTGTGGTTATGTATGAGAATGTTATTGTTATCAGGAGAGAGATACTAAAGTGTTTCAAATGTTATGATGTCTGCAACTCTCAAATGGTTCAGAAAAAAAGTGTGTGAGGTGTGTGTGCGCACGTTGACAGAGAGAGAGGAGAAAGTAAACGTGCAAAATATTAACGATTGATGAATCTAGGTTTAAAAGAGTATTTGGATGTTCATCATATGATTCTTTCAACTTTGAGAGGTTTGAAGCATTTCAAAGTAAAAAACTGAGGGTAAAATTAAGCTAACTAGGAGAAGGGTAGTGTTGTGAAAGCTTTCCAAGCAGAGGGAGCAATACGCCCCAGCCTCTGAGGCTGGGAGGACCTTGGTGAGTTCAAACCACTAAGAGAAAACCAGTGTGGCTGCCATAAGGCGTGGTGGTGTCAGGGCCTGGGGCTGCAGAGTGTACACTAAATATTTTGGTCTCATCCTAAGAGCTCTGGGAAGCCACTGAAGTATATAAAAGGGGGGCTGTCATGATCGGATTTAAGTATTTAAAGGTCATGGCTGCTCCTATGAGAAGACTGAGGGTTGGGGGTACCTCTGGGAGGACGGGAGACCAGTGATGGAGCCTCAGCCACCTCTGTCTCCATGAAAATCCAGGAGTCCTTACTTGCAGGCAGACTGAGCTCTCTCTGGGCCTGCCTGGGGGCACAGGGCTGAGGCAGGTGGCCTCAGGCCGAGGTGAAGGGCCTAACGGGGAAAGAGAGGGGAGAGCAGGTAGGGGGGTGAGCAGCAGGGAGAGGTTTGGGGCTGTGGGGTAGACAACAGGGTCAGACACCAGGTTAGGATACCCTGTGGTGGTGGGTGATGGTGTTGAGGGAATAAAGGTGAGTGGAAGGCTGGGCCTGGAACCACGACGGCCTGGGCAGAAAGGATTCTTGGGAAATGATTGAAGGCTGGAGGCCAAGCATGTGGGCAGGAGATGAGTAGAGAGACAGACTTCTTTTTGAACCATTTACTCAGAGCTCCTTATTTCTGGGTAGTGGGCTGACTAAATTATATACATATTGTCTATTTCAGCCTCAGAACCACCTACAGATAAGTGTTATTATCCCTATTTCCCAGCAGATGAAACTGGGGCTCAGAGAGGTTGAGAGACTTTCCCAAAATCACACAGCTGGCAACAGGCAGAACTACAACCTGTACCCACTATGTGCCAGTGCCTGTGACAGGCCCTAGGATTTAAGAGGTGATATGATTCTTGCCCTAAGAAGTTTGTATTCTAGTGTGCTGTGTGTGTGGGGGGGTGGAGGGGCAGTCCCAGAGGCTGGGTTGTAAAATTATGAGTGCTTTTTCTTTTAAACTGTTTTCTCTATTTCTCATGTTTCTATAATGAGCATGGATTATTTTATAAGCAGAAAAAAATAAGATGCTATTTGTCTGTTGAATGACTGCCCAAACTGAGGGAGAGCAGGGATAGTGTCTCTCAGGGGAGGTGGAATGGAAGGGGAAATGGCAGTGTGGAGCCATCCAAGGAGAACAGTGTGGGGACCAGGGAAAGCCAAATGGAGACCCTCCTCTGGGCAGAGGCTGGGAACAGCTGCAGGGCGGGGCCTGGGGTACAGCCTGAGAAAGGAGAACTGGCTTGCTGGGCTCAGGGCTTGAGACAACAGCTGTTGGGATCAGAAGCCAAAAGGAGGACCTGAGCAGGGGTAGCGGTGGAGAGGAGGAACACCTGGCAGGCAGGGACTTCCTTTTGTCTAGGCAATGGGACAGGGCACTGGCTTGAACTTGAACCAGGTTTACTGAAGAACTCGACGCTAGCCCTGCTCTGAACCTGGTGTCCCAGTAGCCAAGATAGGCCAGAGAAGCAGTGGGGAGCCAGAACCAGGGTTAGACTGAATAAGAGAAATCTCCCCTCTTCATCTTCTCACCCCCATTAACTCCTCAGAATGGCAGCAAAGAAAACCTGCATCATTCTGCTGAGCCTGAGAGGCCTCACCACAGGGCCTTTGCACATGCTCTTCCCTCCACCTGGAATGCTCTTCCCTGTTTCCTTCAGCTGGTTAATCCACAACCTCATTTCCTCCTGGATGTCCTCCTGCTCCCTGACCAGGTCAAATCCCTATTTTATACTCTCACCACCAGGAACTGCTCTTCACAGCACTTAGGGTAGCTGTAATCTTACAATGTTTTTTGAGTAATTATTTGGTTCATATCTGTCTCCCTCAACACACTGTAAACTCCCTAAGGCAGAAGTTATGTCTATCTTATATCTCCTACACCTCGAATACTACCTGTCCTACGGTAGGTGCTTATTAACTATTTATTGAATGAATGAAAGGGGTAAGTTATAGTTGCTGGACTGGGCCCCTAACATTTGACTTCATCTGGGCCCCTGTGCAGCTGAATCATAAATGTTTGTTCCATCCCCCTCAAGTTAACTAAGGAAGGGAGAGCCCTGCACCTTCTCCTCCATCTCCCCAAGAGATCCCTCATGTACTTTAGGCCACCAAGTCTCTCATCTGATGAAAAGGGACTTGAGGCAGCCAGTCTAGAAGGCACGTAAGAGTCAAACGGCTAATAAGGACCTGCTGTATAGCCCAGGGAACTCTACTCGATACTCTGTAATGACCCATATGGGAAAAGAATCTAAAAAAGAATGGATATGTGAATATGTGTAACTGATTCACTTTGCTGTGCACCTGAAACTAACACAATATTGTAAATCAACTGTACTCCAATAAAAATTATTTTCAAAAAAAGAGTCAATTGGTGGGGCTCTCAAGTTCAGCAATGAATTCTGCTTCAGGGCCAGTATATGGCCTGGGGTGGCGGTGGGTAAAGGGAACATGAATTGCCCTGTAATTCTCGTCACCTCAGCTCAAATGGCACTTCCTCCTGGAGGTCTTCTCTATCCCCCTCCCCCATTACACTCACATGACCCTCCTCCCAGAACTTGCTATGATTTGTAACTAGAAATTTTTTTAGTGTGACTTGTTGTCAATTTTCTGTCTTCCCTGCTGTCATGGCAGCCTATGAGTACAAGGATCGTGTCTGCTTGTTCACTCTTACAGGCCAATGTTTAGCACAGGGCCTGGCTCATAGTATATGCTCAATAAATATTTGTTGAATGAATAAATACATGAACGAATACATGAACGACCTAACCGATAAACCTGTGGGAAGGCTGGCAAGACCAGCGGGGAGAAAGGAGAAAGCTGGGGTCAAGGGAGGGGCAAGGGCAGGTCCAAGCCATCTGGTTTGCTGCCTTCTAGGGGCCTGCTAGGAACTAACTGCCTTGAGACCTCAATACCAGAGGCAGGACTCACATGCCCAGGAGCTGGAGTCTCCACCGTACACCAAGGTGTCCTGGGTTCTTGTGGCAGTGAGGGCTCAGCATCTGGGGAAATGTGGGCAGCAAGTGTCCAACCAGCGAGGAGGTGGGGAAGGCAGCCCAAGCTCTGCCCTCCCTCTGTCTCCTGGGCTTCTTGGACTCCACCAGGCTCCCAGGGTCACCAGACTTCTAACAGGGAGGCCTGGCCCAGAGCTGACCCCACTCCCTTCAGACCAACTGCAGGTCTTTTGCTGAAGTCCTCCTCCCCCTCCACCCCACCCCAGCCTGCTCGCCCCAGGGAGTTCCTGTCTTAGCAGGAATTCATACCAGATTGATCTGAGCAGCTGGGGCAGCCTGGATGGGAGGGTGTATATGGTGGAGAGCAGAGATCAAAGGCTCTGTCTGTGAGGGGCTGGGAAGGGAGAGAGCCTGGGGGGCGGGCATGTGTGTGCTGGCTTGCCCACAAGTTTTAGGAAATGAGAGACAGAGAGAGGGACACAGAGTAAAAGGATAAAAGAGAGAGAGAGAGAGATAAAGAAAGAACAACAGAGAAAGAGACCCATTAAGGCAAAAAGAGACAGACAAGAGACTTAGATATACAGAGAGAGACAGAGACAGAGACAAAGGAGACACAGAGAGGCTGAGAACAGAGAAGAATGGAGAAACAGTGAGAGGGAGAGAAAGAGACTGGAGACAGAACACCAGGACACTAGGAAATGATGAAAGAAGGAGAGACAGAAGAGAGGTCAAGGACAGGGACAGGGAAGCAGAGACAGAGGGAAAAGGAGAAACAGAGACTGAGACTAAGGCGGAGTCACGTTTATTCATTGATTCCACATTTATTGAGCACCTAGCCATAAGCAGGCTCAGCAAGAGGCACAGATCAGTGCAAGTAGACACAAATGGTAGGGACCAAGATACAGCAATAAAGAAAGAAACTGAGATCGAGACGAGAAAGAGAGGGAGAGGCAGAGATTGCAAACTAACATAGAGACTGAGCCGAGGACGGTGAGAGAGTGTCAGAGGCAAAGGGCCTGCAGGCAGAGAAGGCTGCAGGCTCTCCGTCCCCAGCCCCACCGCCAGCTGCCCGACCTCCCTCCCCTCAGCCTCAGCTCTTTCCTGCCGGCTCCGGAGGAGGCTCTGGCTGCTGACAGCTCCTCCCTTCCTCCTCCTGTCCCAGATTCCTCTGCCTGAACCCCAGTCAGGACGGAGACCAGCCAAATCTGGAGCAGGAGGATGGAGCCGGTGGACAGGTATAAAAACCTTCCTCTCCGCCCAGAGACCTCCTTGAGACCATCCTTTGCTCCCACGGAGCCCCCAAGATACAGGAAAAGGTTTGTGTGGTGGGGCGAAGGGAAGGGATGAGTGTGTGAATTGCGTTTCCAAAATAGCCAGAGTAGGAGCGTCTTCCTTCTGGGGTTTGTGTACCAGCCGCCAACGTACCAAAACCTCCCTGAAATCTGGAACTGAGGGAGGAAGCCATTTGTAGCAAATGCTGAGCCCTCCCCCCATCTCCTCCCACGTCATCACTGAGAAAAATGTCGCAGAGGAGAGGGTGGGCTGGAGAGGCAGTCACCTACCCGCTGGTGCCGGGTCTCTGGGCCTGGGAGAAACGCCAGTCCGTGTTGGGCGGGGCTTGCTGTGGAGAAAACAGAGGGAAAGGGGCTGAGTACCCAAATGGGGTAAGATGAGGGCGAGGTAGGCTCATTTTCAAAGACAAAATATACCTCAGGTCTCAGAGGTCTGAGGTAACAGAGACAAAGAGATAAAATCACAGTTATCTGACCACAGTGAGCAAACCCAGATTCCTTTCCTAAGGAACTGGCCCCTTCCTCCCTGCCCCCAGACTCAGAACTTCTGAGATTCAAGGGCTGAAAGCATCTTCTGTGAAACCGGGGGGAGGGGTGCAGAGAAGTCCCCCGAAAGTCGCAGATGAGGTTTTTACATGAGAATTCCACCAGCCCTAGAAAGAATTTCATTCAGCTCCGCAGCTGGGAACAAAGCATCCTCTGCGGCAAGATGGCTGCTGTTCTGGGTAACCCTTTTCATGCCAGGTTGTACCTTTACACATTCAGAAGGACACCTCCTTCAGACCCCTGGCTCTCAAGGATCCCTTCCCACAGCTAAATACATTATTAATTTAGGAGTTATGCCAGACTGGGCCTTTGGATGCCAGGGCATCCAAGCCCCAGGACACCTCCCACCCCCAGAACTCTGTGCCAGACAATGGCTTTGACTAAGGAGGAGAGAACAAGGCAGCTCTGTCTGGAACAGAGAGAACTGCTGGGATGGAGCCCGGCAGAGATCAAGCTCCCACAGGCTCCAAGGAGAGCCAACTCGATCTCCAGGGCTCCCCAGGGGCAGATCTGTAGCCCTCTCCCACCTGGATGAAGGTGTGGGACTCTAGCCAGCCACTTCACTTCCAAGACCCTCCCAGCCTTTGCAGAGGGTGTATTATCCCATCACACACTCTCATGGAGCACTTCTAGAGCCATTTCCTCTCCATTCTGGGGTGCTCTGGTAATTGTCACACTCACTCCCAGGAGCAGAGAGGGAGGTGTGAGCACCTCCGATTACACTGGGGAGAAGGAAGACCCAGGGCTGCCAAATGACTCACTCTAAGTCTCACAGGTGGCAGTGATGTAAGCAGAACCCAGAAACTTAGCATCCCAGGTACAACAGGAGTTACAAGCACCATTCTGGAGCTGCCATGGGCAAGGGCACAGGGATGTCCAGCTCTCAGTTACCATATTCTTAGACACAGCAGAATCTACATGGAGATGCAGGAACCATGACAGACTGGAGGACAGGAACTAGGCCAACTCACAACCTACATAAGGACAGTGGGTCCAAGTTTGTTCAATTAGGGATGCTCAGGAATAAGGAGCCCCAGTAGGCTTTTCTTCACGTGTTAGGCTCTAAAAGGGAAAGAATGCCCCCCTTTGCCTCATCCCAGCAGACACAAACTGTCTCTCCTGTTCTCCAGTTTTACAAGTACCAAGTGATTGAAAGCACAAATTCTGGAGTTAAGACAGACCTAGATTAGATCTTTTTCGACCACTTACCCTGTGAACTTGAGCAAGTCACTTGAGCTCTGTGAAACTCAGTTATAAGAGGGAGGATTCTAGTACCTACCCAACAGGTGTGGGGAAGAGCAAAGGAGATGTTGTGGTTCTCTAAGAGGAAGTTGTAGTAAGGCTCTCTCAATTAGCTATCGGAATCACATGGGGGTGTTGTTCCAAACTATAATTCTGATTCGAGGGGCAGGATGGGGTACGGACATATTTTGAATAAAAGCTCCTGGAGTTACAGAAACGTGTGCTTTTTACCATTATAGTTTCCCCATGTATTGCAAGCACCCTGCTGGCTTCTGGCAGAGAGAGGCCCTGGCTTTCCAACAACCAAGGAAAGAAAGACTTGCCAGAGTGTCAGATAATTTGGTCACTCCCAAAGCCCTGATCCTAGATCGCTGGGCACATGTGGTGACGACGGAGCCAAAAGCCTATATCTTAGCGTCCAGAGCCCAGGTGTTCCAGGGTCCCACTTCCCACCAGAAGACAGGTCGGTGGTGCCACAGAGGGCCCGGGCGGCCTGTCCTATAGAGGCCTGTTCGCTCGTCCCAGACCGGACCCCGCCGTCCCTTGGGCCACAGGGCAGCCTGGCCGACCCGAGCTAGGCTTCTGGGCTGGAGGCACCGCCGGCCTCCGCTCCGCGCCCGGCGGGACCCGCCAGCCCGCGGGTCATAGAGTCCTGCCCGCCCCACGCCTAGAGCGCCCAGAGTGGCTACACTGCGGGCGACTCTGGCTCGTCAGTAGGCGACCGGTCCAGGTCCGGGCGGGGGCGGGAGGCGGCTCCAGAGTCGTCAGGGGCCGGACGGCCACAACTTGGGCGCGCTCAGTCAGTACCTCTGAGGCGAGCAGCAGGGTGGGAGGGAAGCTGTGAGCGGTTTAGAACAGCCAGTGTACCTGGCAGCGAGCGGCAGGCAGTAAAAGGCGGTGTACGCGGAAGACCAAGTGCGAGGGGGCGTATGCGTGCGCGGGTGAGGCGCGGCGAGCCCGTGCGCGGTGCGTGGCTCGTGCGGGCCCTGAGGGCGCGCTTCTGCTCTGTCCACAGACGCGTTGGTTTGATGTGGGAATAAAGAGGGTTGGGAATAACAGCGAAGTCACAGGTCAAGGGAGTGGGGAGAAACCTAAGAAGAAACCTCAGGACCAGTGGAGCGTGCCCGCACCGGAGCCTCGGAGGCTAGCTGAAGGCGTGGATCTGTGACTGCCTCCACCCGGACCCCGGACCTGGCGGAAATCGCCAGAATGATCGCCAGACCCCAGGCTTTTCTGAATGTGGGGTCGGTCCTTTCCTGTCTCCCCCTCAACCACAATCACCATCACCTCCCCGGGCTCAGAGCCCCATCCCTGCCTCAGCCACACCTCTGGTTCCACACAATCCGTCCAAACAGTCCCGACATTCGGGCCGAGCCCGCACCAGAGGAGCGGATGCCAAGTTCAAAGTCCCTGATGTGGCTGGGAGGCTTCTCCATTGCCGCCCCCAGGGGTCGCGCTGAGCCCCTCACCTGGCTCCGCTCCCGCAGCGTGTTAGAGCGGGACCGGAAGGTGTCAGGCTCCTGTGCCAGAGCCGAGGGCTGCTGGACGCTGAGGGGCCTTAGAAAAGTGAAGTCACTGCCGTCCGAGGCTGGTGAAAAGCACGTCCTGTAGCAATGGCTGTGCGAGTCTGTGGGCCGCAGCGTCACCTCCATGTACTTGAGTGTGCCGTCTGAGCTCACCTGTAGGTTGGGGCCAGACTGCTTATAGAACTCCCGGGAGGGCGAGTCCTGGCGCCCACAGCACTCACCCCCACCCCCATCCCCGTCTGCGTGCCCCCGAAGGCACTTAGCTGACAGAAAGGTAAAGGTGACTAAGGATAAGAGACTGACGGCCACAAGAGCCACAATGAGATAAAGGGTAAGGTCTGAACGCTCAGGAGGGTGTGTGAGGAAGTCGCTGGATTTGGGCATCTCCTCAGGGTCCTTATCCTCCAGAATCAGAAGCACCGTGGCTGTAGAGGAGAGTGAAGGGTCACCATTGTCCCTCACCAGGACCACCACCTGCTGGGTGTCAGGGTCATCCTCCAGTAAGGCCCGGGCTGTTCGCACCTCACCAGTGTGTGCAGACACCAGGAACAGTCCTGGGGCTGTGGACTGTGGCAACAGTGAATAGGAGAGCCAGGCATTGTGGCCTGCATCAGCATCTACGGCTGTCACCTTGGTGACGAAGGAGCCAGGAGGGGCAGAGCGAGGGAGACGCTGGGGGACTGAGAGATCCCGGCCTGGTCTGGGGTGCAGCACGGCTGGGGCATTATCATTCTGGTCCAGGACAAACACATGTAGAGATGTGTTGGCATGCAATGGGGGAGAGCCAGAGTCTCGAACGCCCACCACGATCTGCAGCATCTGCAGCAATTCATAGTCGAAAGTACGCTGGGCAAAGACCCGCCCATCCTCAGGGTTGACATACACAAAGGAGGAGGCTGGGACTCCCTGAATCTGATTCCCTACAATGAAGTAGGTGAGGCGAGCATTATCGCCAGTGTCTGGATCAGAGGCAGCCACGGTGCAGAGAAGGGAGCCTGGAGGCCGGTTTTCTGGGATGTAAGCAGTGTAGAGCTGCTGGGTGAAGGAGGGTGCATTGTCGTTTACATCTGAAATGTTGAGCCTGACGGTGAGATGGGCGTGCAAGGGAGGTGAGCCCGCATCGCGGGCCAACAGCTCAATGATATAGTGGGATGTGGCCTCACGGTCCAAAGGCTGGCTGGTTAGCAGTGAGTAGTGGTTCTCGGAAGGCTTAATCTGAAATGGCAGGCCCGAAGAGATATCAAGGCTCACTTCACCATTTCTCCCTGAGTCTCGGTCCCGCACATTAAATAATCCCACTACTATGCCCACTGGTGTGCTCTCCGGGACAGGGTTGACCAAAGAGGCCAATAGTACCTCCGGGGCGTTGTCATTTGCATCCCCCACATCCACTTGAATCACACAGTGGCCTTCCATGGCTGGCTGTCCTTGGTCACGGGCTCTTGCATGAATTTCATAGAAACTTGATTCCTCAAAGTCTATGGGGCCCAACACACGGATTGCTCCACTGCTAGGGTCTAGGCCAAAGAGATTCCGCACTGCCTCAGACGTATGGTCTCCAAAAGAATAGTCTAGTTGGCCATTGGTGCCTTCATCTGGATCAGTGGCATTGAGGCGGAGCAGCAGTGTACCCACGGGTGCATTCTCTGGGAGTCCCACACGTAGAACTGAGGACTGGAAGGTCGGAGCATTATCATTGATGTCCAGCACAGTGATGGAGATAAGGGTGGTCCCTGAGCGGGGTGGGATACCCCCATCCACAGCAGTGAGCACCAGCTGATGTCTTGCCTGGGCTTCACGGTCCAGCTGCTGCTCTAGCACCAGCTCTGGGAACAGCTTCCCATCTTTTAGGGTCTTCACGTTCAGAGAGAAGTGGCTACTGGGGCTCAGAGTATAGAAGCTCACGGTATTGGTACCCACGTCTGGATCCTGGGCACTATCCAGTGGGAACAGTGCCCCAAGTGCAGCTGATTCTGAGATGCGTATCTCTCGCTCAGGGGTGGCAAAGCTAGGAGAGTTGTCATTGAGATCCAGGATTTCTACCTCTACACGGATTAGCTCCAGCGGGTGTTCGGTCACCACCTGTAGTGGCAGCAGGCAGCTGGTGCTGGCTCCACACAGGCTCTCTCGGTCAATTTTCTGATTCACTGCCAGAGCACCACTCACCAAGCTCAGGGAAAAATAATGCCCACTCTCCTCAGAGCCCAACCGCAGCCGGCGGCTCAACAGATCTGTCAGCTTTAAGCCTAGATCCTGAGCAACGTTCCCCACCAGAGTTCCCGGCTCAGACTCCTCCACCACTGAGTAACGAAGCTGCCCAGACACCCAGCCCCAGGAGCACAAGGACAACATGCACAGCACTTGCCATTTCCCAGCGAGCTGCGGGGGTGTCTTGGGCCCCATGACCCAGAAGTCCCTTCCTGGACACTGACTCTGTGCTGTCCTGTCTCGAAGGCAGACCCAGGGCTTGGAATGTAGCAGCTGAAATCTCTTATGTCTCCTTCCAGCCTCTTAAAAAACTGCTCCGAGGTTTGTCTGCCTGCAGCAGTTCTTCTTAGTCACCAAATGGCGGGGGTGGGTTGGGGGGGGAGGGGAATCCAATCTGAGTGGAGCTGGGGAGCTGGGGGAGGAGAGGCGGGCAGGAAGAGCAGATCCCCCACCTTGGCTCTGAGTCTGATTGGCCCAAAAGTCTGTGCTACCAACCAATTATCAAGTCTCCTCAGTCCTGGAAACCTTAGGAACAGGCGCTGCAAATCTGTGTCACAGAAGCCTCCTACCTCCCCACTCATTTCATGCTGCAGGTTGATTCAGCCCCCTTGGCAGCTCAGATGGTGCTCAACAGGGAAGACAAAGTGGTATAGAACTTCTCAGTGTTCTGTCCCAGCAACTTCCTGCATGACTTCAGAAGCTCCCACTACTTTGCTTGAACCAACAAAATTTTGTCCTTCTCAGGGAGGCAAAGCTCATGTGTGAGCCCCTCCCTACCCCATCCTACCAAACACTGCCACGGTGACAGAAGAGATTTGTTAGGACCCTTTAGAGTCTTGCTCAGACTCTCCAGCAGTACTTCGAGGAATCTCAGTGTCAGCTGAGGGCTATAAGGATTCAATTTTTCTGAGATCCTAGACTTCAGTTATGGAATGGGCATCACAGCTTGTGATAGGAGGAACATTTCTAGGACTGATCCAGGTCACCCAAGGAAGGCTTTATGGTTTCATCAATTCAGAAGAAACTACTTAAAGACTCCCACAGTGGCTGTCTCTATGAATTCCTCAGCAGTAAAACAGGTTTAGACATTTAGTGATTTCACGTATTGCCTTTTCCTCCCAAAGAGGTAATGTTCCCCTGCCCCAGTCTACTGAATCTAGCTCAAATCCCAGTGGGGACTTGATTGGGAGTCCTGAAGACCTGGACAAAAGATCCCTGCTTCCACCTCGATCCCTCTCTACTCCCTGGGCTCTTTCTTCTTTTTGCTCTCTGCTATGTTTCAAGCAGAGAGTCCCTTTCACCGTGGATTAGGGAGTAGATGATACTGTGGGGCAAAGATATTAGCTCCCCTTAACCTAAAGTGTTCCAGACCCTGGCCCCCTCACATTCAGGAAGAGTAGAGAAAGCAGCCACCAGGGTTTAGGTGTACCTTGTGCACAAGAGCCTTCCACATGATCCACATTCCAGTCGTGCGTTTCCACAATACCCTGCCTCTTGATCACTTACTTTCAATTCTTACTCTCAGATAAGGGCATAACCCACCTCAAGTACTAACCCGTGAAAACTCCTTGGTTGATTCACAAAACACTTCTAAAGCATAGCATCTACCACATAGTTACCACTCACAGAAGTGGTGACATCACTACAGGCTCTTACAGAGAGACCAGTACTCTCTGGGACATGGCCCAGACACATGCCTGCCTCAGAATAACCCTCAAGCATTGGCTGAGCCTGCAAAGGTCTCACCTCTAGCCCATAGAGAAGATCAGAGGGTGGGCAACTTGGGCGAACAGGTTCCCCTGCCATAGGTGCACTGGGTGACTTCACCATCATGAAGCTATCGCTCCGAGTGGGTGCAGAAGCCAAGGGTGTACAGCCATGAGAGTGGCCGCCCACATCAACAAACTTGATAGGATCATCTGACCCTAGCTGGATTCGGAGGATCCCATTGGAAGGAGGAAGCCCCTCTCTCCTTCGAGATCGGGTGAGACAGGCACAGGTGCCAGCAGGAAAGCAGGTGACTCCACAGGCAGCCCCACGCAGGCACTTCGAGATTAGCGCCACGAATGAGCCAAAGGAGACAAAGCAAATTGCCACTAGAGATACAGCCAAGTACAGGGTCAAGCGGGATTCTCCTTCCCTTGGAGCTGAAGATTCTCGAAGATCAGGGACAACTGGATGAGTGTCTTCTTCCAAGGACACCAGGAGAGTAACGGAGGTAGAGAGTGGTGGGCTACCACTATCCTTTACCACAATGACCAGCTTCTGAGGCGGGAGATCAGCTGGGATGGGAACAGCCGTCCGCACTTCCCCAGCATAGCGGGAGACTGCAAACAGGCTGGGATCTGGGGCCTCCAGGAGCTGATATGAAACCCAAGCATTGTAACCTGAATCCAAATCCACAGCGGTCACCTTTGTAACTAGGTGTCCAGCACCAACTGATGGAGGCAGTGCTTGTGGACATAAGGAACCAGGTCGGGCTCTAGGGCGGAGCACAGCTGGTGCATTGTCATTGAGGTCCAGTACAAATAGACGAACTGTCACGGTGCTACTAAGGGGTGGGTTGCCCCGATCCCGGGCCTGCACCTCAAACTGCAGTGTCTGTGTTTGCTCATAGTCAAAGGATCGAGTAGCATGAACAGCTCCCGTCTGGGGGTTCAGAGAGATGAAGGAGGAAGCTGACACATCTCGATTTCTGGGCTCTAGGAGAGAGTAGGAGATAAGGGCATTCAAGCCAGAGTCTGGATCAGAGGCTGCAAGGGAGCAAAGCAGGTCCCCTGGGCGATTGTTCTCTGGAACAAATACTTCATGTGACCTCTGAAAGAAAGAGGGTGGGTTATCATTCACATCTGAGACATTGAGGAGAATGGTCCTGTGGGTACTCAGAGGAGGGCTCCCAGCATCAGAAGCAGTGACCATGATATCATAGCTGGATTTGGCCTCTCGGTCCAAGGGCCCAGCAGTCACCAGGGAGAACTGGTTCCTGAAGGCGGACTTCAGGGCAAAGGGCAAATGGTCAGGAATACGGAGGCTCACATCTCCATTTGAACCTGAGTCGGGGTCCTGCACACTGATGAGAGCCACCACGGTGCCAGGTTCTGCACTCTCAGGGAGAGTCCCAAGCTCTGAGGTCACTGTGATGCGGGGGGCATTGTCATTTACATCCAGGAGATCCACCCGAAGGCTGCAATGTTGCTCCATGGCTGGAGAACCCCCATCTCGAGCCCGAACATCAAATTCATAGTAATTCTCGCTCTCAAAGTCTAGGGGCCCCTGAAGAGTAAGCTTTCCATTAGTGGGGTGCAGGCTAAAGAGATTTCTCACACGATCAGGGGTGTGACCACTGAAAGAAAAGGTGACGTTACCACTGGGACCCAGGTCTGGGTCAGAGGCATTGAGCTGGATGAGTAGCATGCCGGCTGGCGCGCTCTCCAAAACGCTAATCCTGTAGCTGGATTGCTGGAAGGCTGGGGCGTTGTCATTCACGTCCAGCACTGACACCCGGAGCTCCGCTGTGCCAGATCTCGGGGGGTTCCCTCCATCCACAGCAGTCAGCACTAGGCGGTAGTCTGATTGCTTTTCCCGATCCAAAGGCTTCTCCAGGAGCAGCTCTGGGACCAGGCTGCCGTCGCTGCGCTTCTTGACATCCAGTGCAAAGTGTTCATTGGAGCTTAGTCTATAGCTGCTGATGGAGTTGCTCCCCACATCTGCATCCTGAGCCTTTTCCAAGGGGAAACGCTGTCCTGGAGGAGCTGCCTCCCCAATTTCCAAGTCCAGCTGCTGCCGAGGAAATCGGGGGGCGTGATCATTCACATCCACGATTTCTACCTCTGCTCGGTACATTTCCAAAGGCCCTTCTGTTACAAACTCCAGGGGCACGATGCAGCTGGCACTGAGCCCACACAGTGCCTCTCGATCGATTGGATTCTTGATGAGCAGGGCACCGCTGTCCAAATCCACACGGAAGTGTCTTTGGTTCACCTCTCCAGCGACCTGCAGCCTGCGAGCTGCTAAGCTCTCTGCATCCAGCAGGAAATCTTGGGCGACATTCCCTACAAAAGTCCCTTCCTGTGACTCCTCTGGGACCGGGTATCGGATCTGCCCACAAACATAACCCAGGTGGCAAAAAAGGAACAAAAGGGTAGTCCCCCGGCAGATTTCTACCCAGCTTCTCACCTTGCGGAGCATTGCTGCCGCCCACTAGTTCTCTATCTGGTCCTGAGAAGCCGAAGAAGCCGACCCGCCCCGAACGGCCACAGCAGCTGGAGACACCTAATCTCCCTTTCCCCGCGCCAGCTCTGGCGCGGCTGGGCCGGCGCTGCAAGGGTTACGCGCCGTTTTTTTTGCTGGTGGCGGGGTAGATTTGTCTGCCTTCCTCCACCCGATTGGCAGACAGAGGCTCCTGGGCTCAGCCAATAGGCTAAGCAGAGAACGTCCCAATAGCAGCAGGGTAAATGCGTCGCAGCATTGGAAAAAGGAAAGAAAAAACAAAAAACAACACACCTATCTTTTTGCCTTCCTCCTGTTCAACAGCATTTTTTCCCCCCACGGGTTATTACCTCTATGGAGAGGCAGACAACATAGACGTATTTTTTTTTTTCTAACACACCAATTCCCAGCCCACACCACCCCGCCCCTTTTCGGTGGGGGAAAACAGCGACAGCCTGAGCCCTAGCAACCTGCAGCCCAGAGAGTGAGTAGCCATTTGAGACTGGTCACTTTGTTCAAGCCAATGTTGTCATCCACCAGTATTCTAAATGAGTAGCTTCTGCCTCAGTCTGATTGTATTAGAGCAACAGCTACTTAGAAACACTGCCTTATACTAAAAACTCTGCCCCTCTGCAGATTATTCAGAAATATATCCACCTCTTTGCAGAAAAGGCTTACACATTAAGGTAGCCTATTAAATTTATGCAGTACACATTTTTGTTGTAACAGAAGGCGCAGCAGAAACCAAACCTCTCTTATTCAGATACCCACTGGTGGTATACTAAATTGCCATTCACTGATTTCAAGGACAGTATGGAAGGAGGTGAAGGAGGGGGGAGGAAGCCAGGAGAGAGAGATGTTCCAAATCAGTAAAGAATCAGTTTGTCTGGGAGACGCTAAGGACTACATCTCACTTCCTGGCAGAATGCTAATGTTCACAGATTTAATAGCTTCCATGAATGATTGAGATCTGCTACCAAAAGCAC